CGCTCTGACGACAGAGGACGGAAGAAGGGAGCCGTTGGAAGAGCCGTCCGCGTTCTCCCCGGATCCCGTGGCCAATCTCTCGAAGGAGGTGGAAGGAGGTGGCGAGGACGAAACTCTGGCGAGGCTGGGCGAAGACGAGGGCCGGGCGAGCGAGCTGAGGAGGAGCCGGACGTCCTTGTACGAGGACGCCAGGGATTCCATGAACGACAGAGAGTGCATTGGTGAGGAGAGTTGCAAGCGGAACGACGCGATCTCCCTCGAGACCCTGACCACGGAGGAAGTCACGAATTTGAACAAGTGTGACTCGAACGACACACTGATTGCGGAAGTGGCGGCCAACGGCCCGCCTCTCGTCGAGGAGGGAAAGGAGGAAGAGGGCGAGGAGGTGGACGGCGAGACGCTGCGGGCCCTGTCTCTGTTTGGGGTGAGTAGACAGATGTGTACAATCGTGCGGACGAGCTCATAAGAGATCTAGATCGATAAACCGGGCACGCAGATCTAGGCGATCGAGACAGACAGGCCTAGTATCGGAGGCCTAACGGAACAAGGAAAAGGAGCGCCTATTTGAATACAAAACCGAGAAACTGCTCGCGTGCACGGTAGTGGAAGCAAATTGCAACACAGGGGGGGATAATTTATGCTCTTAATGGACTTGTGCGCGATGATTAAAACCAGTAATTTCCAGGGAAACGTGTTTTTCGATCAGGTTGATGATTTATTTTGAATTACGAGACAGACAGACATGGATACAGGTACGGTTAATAAAATTTGGACTTTTATGGAGATGGGATGATTGGAAGCGAAGGTGCTTGAAATTTTTTTTTTTTTTTTTTTTGGAAGAATTATAGTATATTTAAGCTTTGATTGTTCGTTCGTAAATACATATTTTTATATATTTTTTTTCGTTTTTCTAATATTAGTTTTATTTCTATTTAAATTTTACAAATAAATTTAATCGTATTTTGAGTAAAAGTTTTATTATGGCATATAATATTGAAAATTAAAAAAATTAAAAAAGATTGGAATAGTTCCGTAATCTATAGAAAAAAGAGATTGAAATACGATATTGAAATCGTATCATATTTATTATTTAATGTAGAACAATTTTTTTCAGCTTAATTTTTTCGAATAAGCAATAGTAATTATTAAAAAGCTAGGAAAAAATTATTTTTCTATATAGAGATATATAATATAAATTTCATTATGATATAAACAATTATAAATGTTGAAAGTATTAATTTTAATATTATAAAATATTACGAATAGATAAATAAAATAATAATTTATTATCGAAATTTCACAATTTCGGATAAATATCATTACATTCTGTTTTATATTTTTATTAATAAGTAGATATTTTTTCCATTTCAAATTTCACATTCTCGAATTGAAATTTAAAAATATTCTTCGAAACCAGGAAGACCGTATGTTTCGTCATCGTAGAATTTACAAGAATACGCGAGTTCGTCAATTTCCCTAGCTTTCGATCCTTGTCTCGCATCTAAATTCGCGTGGGCGTAACGCGGCGTGAATTTGTCTCGTTTATCGATCGTGCCTTATCGATGACAGTCGGCGTGGCAACATGACTTGCTTGGGATTCGAGTTCATATGCCGGTGCGGGCCACTCGATTGACAAACGACGAGGCTGGGCGTTTCGCGACGCTTATGCCGAAAGGTGCGCCACGTTCCTCACGGTGCAACAATGTGCGCGCCACATGCTGCGCTTGGAACGTTCGTTGATCGTCTTGGAAAAACGTAAAGCTTGTGGTGGAACGAACGTCCTCGTCGGTAAATGCCACGCGACCGTTATAATTGAAGTTCGAAACGAAGAGAGTTGTGTGATTTTTTGTTTCCTTTCCGTTTTTTGTTTTCGTTGAGAGATTGAGAAAGTTGGTTGGATCGTTTAGAGTGTTGTTGGATTCTTTGTTTTATATGTGTCTCGAAGTCTCAAGGAAATTTTAAGAATAGATATATTGTATAGTGACATTCGAATTGTTTTTGTAATATTTTGTAATATTTCTTTGGAGCATTATTGGAATATATTATATTTTACACGTGACAAATTTTTTTCGTGTTAGAAAATTATAGTCTTTCAAAGTTTCAAAATTTATAATAAATAATAAAAATTAAAAATATAGAAGATGTTCGGAAAGAGGCTGAATCTTATGTATCATGTTTGAAAATTTAGAAATTTATAACACAAATTGCATCTATCACTTTTACAATGATTCTAATAAATTTCTTTCTAACCTTCAAATTTTGTTCACTATTTAAGAAATTTTTAAAATCAATTTATTCTTCTTGCTTATAAAATTTCTAAAAGATTTGACAGAAGGAATACTTACTTCAAAGTGTTCTGATTTTTTATTCAACAAAAATTCTAACCCTCCCATACAATACACGCATCGTCTTAAAAATCCCATCGCGCTTTCACCCAGGAAACAATCACCATCGATCCATACAATGCGCTCCGTGTCTTGGAATCGTTTCATCGGTCGTTCTTTTACATTCTTTCATGGTAACAGGAACATTCGAGGTGTGGGCAGGCACACAGCATTCCGCGCTATGCAAATCGATCGATAATTGATAGGGAATAATAGCACAGTGTCCGGGCGATGCTTCGATATTAGATGTCAGAGTGAAACATAAACATGGTGGATTTTTATGAAATGTTCGCATAGTCCGTATAGAAATGTAAGCAGCGTCTCAATATTATCTTATAATTCGTTAGAAATTATACTAGGAAGATTCTATATCCCAAAATATTAGATTTAAAATATTAAATGTATAGACATATAAATATAACAGTGCGTAACGAATAATAATTTTCAATGACGTAATAATATTCCTAACAAGTGGCTGTTTTATTCGACGCAAAAGTATTAAAAAATAACTAAACGTTTCTTTTCTCTAAAAAAGGAAAATCTAAAGGAGGATATAAAGGATATAAAAAACATATTACGTAACAAGCTCAAAAAATTTCATCAATTTATTAAATAATAGCATATAGTGGTTATATAGAGAAAGATATAAGAGGTTAAATTATGGTTCAATACAAATAAGTGATTTCGTGTAATTACATCTATGCGAACATTTGTGTGTTCTCTAATGACAAAATGCGCACGACTTCGCTACGAAAATTACCGAAAAGTACCGAATTGTTACGAATCGAATTGTAACGGTCTACGCTCGTGTGTCTTCAGTCTTGTGTTTCTAATAGCAAAGCATCGTATCGTTCGTGCGAAAATTATCGAAAAGTGCCAAACTGTTGTTACAAGCCTGTAATAACCGTGTCGTTTCTGTTCATCTATATTAATTCCACTTGTCTCCGTGCGAATACTCAATGTGTGTCGGCTTCGCTTGAGCCAACAGCCAACAGGTAGGCAGTAGGTGGCCGCGTTTGCACTGGCATTAGAGTGTTCAGTGGGCCGAGAGTGGCCGACAGCGTGATTCCGCGGCACGTACGCATCATGGGGTGGCGTAAATCTGACCAGTCGACAGAGTCGATCGCCTCTGAAACGCTACCCGATCATCAGTCGTGAAAGTGTAGCCGGGGAAAATGATCAGCCGTGTCCGCCACGCATGCACGCATGTAGGCACGCATTCGATTCGATCCTACCTTTCGTCCTTCTTGAATCTTCTCGTTCGTTTTCAAGTGTTCTCGCGCACGCGCATAGCAGCATCGTGAACCCGTTACATCGGTAGGATTATAGATTAGACCGCGCCTGCGCGCGTGGAAAAACGATAAGCGGGATACGGGTTCGGGATTTATTGTAATTGGCGGTAATGACGGTTTTACGCCATAGCTGCCATCATTAAATGGCCGAGGCATGGACGCCTCGTTGAGTTCCGTGTTTTCCGTGTTTAAAACCGCGCGAAGACTTGATGAATGTGCGTGGATGTTGGAATAATGTATATAATATATGTTGAGCAATGGTGATTTTTCGATTTCTTTGATTTCTTGGAGAAGTAAAATATAATGTCTGGATGGCAGGTTAATCAATTAATTATTATAAAGATAAAAAATATGTATGTATAAAGTTTATATTTATATAGAATATAGAATACATATAGTATTAATATTTATAATTATAATCATTAGAGTTCTATTATTCATTGATGCGGTAAAAGCAATTATATCAATTCAATTAAAGTAATTAGATTCTTAAAGTTTCTTTGAGTTCGATTCAATTCTACCTAATTATTCTCAGTTAAATTAGATAATTGTTTTCAAACAAAATTCGATTTCAATTTCACCTATATTTCAACAATATCCAAGGATTGTTAATAAACTGCCATCATTTTGTTCAATGTCGTTTCATTTTATCAAACATAATATTTCTCCGTAACTTCGATCAAGTTTCTTTATTAGCATCGTGTACCAGTTGTTTAAATATGAAAGATATTGTATAAGCCGCGACAAGAAGGTCTCGAGTATTGGATAAAGGATCGTTTCTTCATTGAACCGTGGCGATCGCGAGTTTGTCGATCGAATTTTACAGCGATTCTTTGCCGAGGAGAGAGAGAAGGGAAGGAAGAAAGCCTTGGCATGGGATTATTCCGCGTGACTTCCGATCGGAATATAGTTTAGCGGGCCATTCTTTTCAGTCGGTGACTTTCGCCATGGCGAAGAGAGTTGAGCAATTTCTTCTCTCCCTGGATGATCGCGGCCCGAGGCGGCACGATAATAAGGTGTCAACGTTCACGGACCCCGGTCTCGTGTCAGATCATCGTTTCCGGGTTATGCTCGTGCGAATAACTATGCCCCGGTGTATTCGTTCGATTCAATCGCGGTCGATCGTGTGTTTCTTACGATGATGATCTGTTAGAATGAAAAGGGCCGATTTGGAGCGAGACTGTTGTGAGATTTTGTCGAATATTCCTTGAGAAACTTCACTGTGGAGATGTTTTAGATTATCGTTTGTTGTAATTTTTAAGAAAGTTAAAATATTCTATATTCGTATTCATATTTTCTTTGATAAATATGTAATAGAATATTACATTTATTTTATTAAAAATAAAGAATATGATTATTTCGTTTAAATGTTTCTAACATTATATAAATATTTATTTTTAGATAGAAATATAATAATATTTAGAAATACATTAAATAAAGAAAATTAATATTGTCTCTATTTTAACATGTTAAATTATAAAATAACTGATGTTCATTCTAAGATGTTCATTTTAATTCCTCAGAAAATTAATTAGCTTAAATTTTGACAGAAATTATTCTTTTTTTTTTATAACAATTCGGCTGATTCTCAAATTTTAAAAGCGAAAGTCAGATCAATCGATATAGAAATCCAACGCACGTAATATCAGCAACATCGACACTCATATTACGAGCGAGAATATCCAAGAAGCAATAATCCTACTCTTAAGTCCCCTCGTGAAACCCAAACCGTCTTTCTCTCCCCGTTA